TGAACATGAACCGCGAATCGGTAAGGAGCATTCTTCGGAAAGATCTTAAGTTTCATCCTTATAAAATACAGGTAGTGCAGGAACTTAAAGTGACTGACTATAATAAACTAGTAAACTTTGCATCGCGAATACAAATATTGCTTTAAAACAAGCCGAACATGAAATTGTTAATCAGTGACGAAGCCCACTTCCACCTTACTGGCTCGGTAAACAAACAAAACTTCCATAACTGATCTAGTCAGAATCCCCGTAACATTCATAAAAAAACCTTTACACTCTCCCAAGGTTACAGTTTGGTGTGTGGTATCCCATTCCTGTGTTATTGGGCCGTATTTTTTCGAGGAAAATGATGCAACAGTGACAGTAAACTCTCAACGCTATGTTCACATGTTGAACACATTTCTCCGTCAAGAACTTTGCAGACGTCAAATAAATCGAACAAAGATGTTTTTCAACAGGACGGTGCTACAGCCCAGAGCCCACACTGCAGACCTATCAATGAGAGTATTCGAGGCAAATGTTTCCTAACAAGGCGATTTCTCGCTTTAGTGACATACCGTGGCTACCAAGGTCACCTAACTTGTCCAGCTATGATTACTTTCATTGGTGGTTTCTTAAGAGCGTGTGTATGCTCACAAACCACGCACTCTAGAGGATTTGAAGTTGGCAATCACATATGAGATCAATGGCATTGAACAAGACCTCCTGAACTGAGTTTCAGATGATTTTCAGACCAGAATGAATATTTCTAAAGAAGTACATGGCCGTCATATGCGTGACGTCATTTAAAAAAATGACTGTTTGGTAATAAATGGCAAATGTTTACCTCACTACAGTAGTAAAACTATTGTATTCCTTTTAACTACCGTGTACTACTTATTTATAAAAAAGTCAGGTTCCTATGTGTCACTCTGTATATATATTTTATTATATATGTTTTATATATTCTTAAGATATTCCTCTACTTAAACTTTAGGGTGCAAGCTATGTAAAAACTGAAATAATATAATACAAAAGAAGAAAAGATAAGCTACGACAAAGATATTATCGTGATGTAAATTCTTCTTGAAGTGTTACGATACGTTTTTAAGAACGGTATAGTTTTTGTAAAATATATATTATGTAACATGCTTCGCAGCCAAGTAAAAGCGTTTGCAAATAAGAATGTAAAATGTTTTTGCTCTCAGAACATAATATTGAGAGCTAATGGCCAAAGTTGCGAATTTTAAAAACACTCTTTACATAATGTAAATTGTTGCTGAATATTGAAGTAAGTCACCAAAGACATCCAAACTGTATAATAAGCACGAACTTTAACTCAAACTTTAAAAGAGTTGTTTGCATTTACTGACAGACCTTTATACTGAAAAGTGTTCTTTCGGGGTTGGAAACTTTATAAAACTTGGATTATTTAAAAATACAGTTTTTAATATATTTTAACCAGAGTTAAATGATATTAATTATAAATTTAAATACTTATATTTTGGTTGATAAACATAATATAATGCAAATTGATAAAACGACGTTAGTAATTGAATAATACCTGCGTCGCCGCTTTTCATTGCAGCAACTGTACAACTGTTGTATATTTTATACAGTTATATAGTTACAGCGTGTACAAGCAGTCACCACGCTGACTGCAATAACATGTTATCTGAGGAGAGTTAATTTTTAAAACTGCGTAGTTCAATTGAAAAATCAATAACATTTTATGTATTTGTCCCAATGGTTCATTTTAATTATTTTCGGAGTTTATAAAGTAAACATAATAGTTTTCAAAATTAGCAATGGTAATGAATTAACAAATTACTTTCAGTAATCACAACATAGTAAACTTTCAGATCCTTAAAGAATTAGGAAAAAGGGATAGCTATGTTCCTGCCTAGCCACAACTGCATACATGTATTCATGTGCATATTTTGTTTACGTAATTGTGTCACTATCACAAATACACAGGAGAGATGTGCATACAAACAAGATGTACACTAACGTGGTATAAACTATATGCAAACTGTATTTAGGTTATATTTAAATAAAGCCAAAAATATAAGTACCTGTTGCTTTACAACTGTCTGGCTGTTCTTAACAACATGGTTTTTATTGGATCATAGAGAATTGTAATGCAAAATGTTTTTCTCCTTCTTCACTAACACGGGTCCTCCGTGCTATATTCAATCATCCGTGTATGATAGTTCACAATAAGCAACACAAGTTTCAACGTCGATATTGGAAATTAGATGAGTGTACTTTTCATTATTTTGCCTTGACAATCATCCATGTAAGCGGGGCACAAAAGCATGTTTGCGCCTTCTCAGGGAATCTTCAATTATAAAGTATTACATTTAAGGTTAAAATGAGTATTTCTGTCTTTAAAATAAATAAACTACAATTAAACGTAACGTACATTCGTGCGTTAACAGTTCTGACATTTAAAGTAATTTACTTAAAGTTAACAAATCAATTATTTTTCTACTTATTATGAGAAGTAGAGACTCAAAGTCCGTTATTTTATTTTTTCAATTAAATATTTAGGTTGTTCATTATGGTTAAATCATCTATTTGGGCAATAATTAATCGGTCCCTTAGCCCTGGCTCCAATAACACCATTCCCCTCTCCAACCAATAGTTTTCATAATTGCAATACTAATGGTTGAATTATTGTATAATTTGGCCATTGACTGAGTTCATTTTTAAACCTTTAAAGATTATTTGAAGAAATTTCTCTAGTTCAATTCAACTTACAAGTAACGTAATGTTGATTACTGATTATTGAAGTTAAAGTTTATTCAAACAAATCGTGTGAAATATACTTTTTGCCATATTTAGCTGTACGTTAATCACCCTTTCATCGTACCTTTTACCTTTTACCTTCTGTCGTGAACTTTTACCAGAGAAGACTGGATTGTTCATGTCAATAAAAAATTAAAACATCACTTCATACATAAAATTGAATATGAAAACATTTAACTATCATTAATATTTACAGAGTACAAATGGCGAGCAGGGAGGAGAGTGAATCGGCAAAAAACTCGTCAATTGAGTAAAAAGCCATGTCCTTTAGCCACCGCACCAAGACACGTTCAAAGCGGTTTTTCTCAAGCAGTCTAATAATCGCACGTTCATCAAATACCCTCCTAAAATACAAAAAAAAAAACTGTATTAGTGTAAACATTATCTAATTATGAGATAAAACTAAATCCTTTAAGGCCCGGTTTCCCCAACTCATTTAAACTTAGTTTTAAGTTAAACGGCGATTTAAACTTAGTTTAACTTTAATTTGTGTTTCCCCAAATTTAAACTAGGTATTAATCTAAGTTCAAACTAAACCACCTCTCGACTTGGTTTAACTACTGGGGATAAAATAAACTGAGTTCAAATTAGTAAGTTACAACAGTAACATAACCTTAAATCAAAATAAAAAGTAGGTGTTAAATCAATAATAATTGAAGCAACTACAAAATTCATTTGGACGAAAATAGGCTTGGTTTAGGGTTAGCTTAGAGAGGGCCTACTAAAATAAGGGACAGAATTGACCATTTCAATAAATGGAATGAATCTGAATTTGACAACAACTTATAATAACTTGATAACATAACCTTAAACAGTGATGTTATTTTAGCTGCATTCGCTTCGCACATTGCTGTATGCTCTACTGAGTTAGTTGTAGCGTAGCGTTGTGGTGGTTGTAGGAAACACTAGCCCAAAGCCCACGGAAGATTCTTTACAAATACACATTCAGGATTGCCAACCGCTCGAATTGCCGTTTATCTTAAACGAAGCCAGTAAAATGTTGGAGAAACCGAACACACATTTTAAACGGAGTTTAAAAATAAACTAGTTTATTATAAACGTAGTTTACACCATTTTGGGGAAACCGGGCCTAAATTTCCTGATCATACTCATTTCCGGTCTGTCCTTTAAAGAGTCTTCAACTTATTGTACCAACATGCTTGGTGATTACTATTGTAACGTAATACTGTTTTATATCATACGTTAAACTTTTTTAAAACTTAACTTAATTTACTTGAAGTTAAAGAAATTAATAATCCACTCAAAATGAGGTGTGGAGAATGAACGTCCATAGTTCGAGTATTGCAATTAAATATGTGGATAGTTAATTTTGGTGAACAATAAACCATAGATAAAACATACTCCCTTGTGTTGCTTAGTCTATTTTTAAACTAATTTTCCTGTTATGGGGTTGGTTTTGTGGGGAGAAGTACATTTCATTAATGTGGGACCAACAGTTTGAATGAAATAAAAAGTGGACACCTAACTTGATTAACCCTGTATACATCAAAACGTATTCCCTATATGGGACATTCGCTAAAGATTTTTTGATTCACTTACTATCTCCAAATCTGTAGATATTGTTTACGAATGTTACGGTGAGCTACCGATTTCGTAATGCAGAGATATTAACAACAAAATTGCAGCTTATTTATAATTTACTGCCACTAATGAGAAACTTTACCAAACGTATATGTTAGACCACAACTTTAATACTAAACAATTTATGTTTGAACTGCATGTTGCGAGGATAAGTTATATGTTTTATTTATGAGGTTTGGTAAACTCGTCCTACATAAATTATTTATTTAAAAAGAATGGAGTAATTGTGTGAAAACGTTCGCTTGTTTATCCCGTTGATTGATAGCAGAGATAACGAGATGTCCGTGGCTAGAACGGTGATAGCCACAAGACGGATGGTCGAGTAGAAAAAAGATTCTTAGAAAATTCAGAGCTAAAGTATTCGCTGAGGAAAATAGCGTTGAACACACATTCAACAACCGAAACATCCTTAAAGCTATCAATAATGTTACGACTTGTCAGGTCGAATAATGTGTCGACTTTACAGTAGTTTTATAGGGTTATATGAAGGCGATTACAGCAGTTTCGGTGTAGCCATAGACAAACGCTAAAATTTTTTTATAACGATTTATATGATAAGTTTATAAACTGTTTAATAAACATTCTAATCACTGTTTTTATCGTTTCAGGTCTTCCCAAGTTCTTCTTTAACAGGTAGGCACAAATAACGTCAATAAATCAGGAAATAATAAATGCTCTTGTATATCTAAAACTAATTATCTTTGTTATGTTTTAACTTAATGTGTTGTATTAGGAATACAGTTGATTGCCAAGTAGGCTAACTTAGATTAATTTAAAGGGTCTAAGTAAGCATCCTAAGTTCGTAAAGTTAACTTACCGGTAGCTATTAAGTATGGGTGACATTTCAGAAAAAAATATTACAAGTATTAAAGTATTACTTTTTTATTATTTAATAACAAATATCACTGTTAATAAGCAAACAATCTTATTATTAACGTATTATTTTGTTAGTTACTTTCACGTTATAAACGTAGTACTATTCCATTGGTACAGGTACTATAGTCGTGTGTTTAACTGGGCATGTATATTACCATAGAATGAACATTACTAACTGAACTTCGTAACATCGAACAGATTTACAGCTGCTAGATATGGTGTATATTACGACAGTATTGTGGCTTATTACCCAATAGTGTAGGGGCATTTTTAAAGGAAGGTTTGTGGGATTTTGAATTAAGCTATTGTAAGATTGGTGGTGATAGGTAGTTAATTACATGTAGAATCGTGTGCTACCAGGTGTTTTTTTCTGAAAGTGTGGCATAGCTGGTGATTTCGGCCGCCATCTGGGATCCTCCATATTGGATATTAATATATTTTTTTTATGTAATGTTGTGACACATAATTATAAACTAGATTTCTAGGCTGATTTCAATGCCCAAACCGTTTTAAAATATCTTTTTCCGTTTGGAAGATATATTCAAATGACAACTCCCCCCATACATTTCTTAGGGACGTTTCGTGATTTGACAAATTTTTTAAGATCATTTTTCTTATATCTCCAGTTCTTATTAACGATAGCAATTCGTTCTAGCCTTAAAATATTTTGTGATTTAAGGGCTTTCATTTGAGCTATTGATAATTAAAATCGGACGAGTTAAAGTCGTGCTACGAACCCCAACACAATATTATATTTTACTTTTAACAAATCGGTTGTTATTAAAAGTTTTATATATCGGGTTTTAATACGTCAATAAGTTCTTTCTGGTCTCAAATTACTAAGTAAATGTTTGGTTTACAATTGAATGAAGTAATTGTATAATACAATTGCTTCATGCAAAATACCACTAAATTACATATGCCCCACAACTACAAGAAACTGTGCAGACCAATGTAAAATGTATAATATATCTTTTTTTGAAATTATCATGATTAACATATTTTTTTATTTAGCGCGTAGCCTATCTAAAATTTTGTGGTACACTCCTACTTTTTACATTGTCCATGAAACGAAAAACATACATAAAAAGCTAGTAGGCCTAAAAATGATGACTATATCAATAGTTTTGTATAACACGATTCAAACCACAAAAAATAGTACCACGGTTTTTGTATTTTGGTTGGAGCTAAGTTGAGATGGTAGCTTAGCTAAATATATTTGTGATCTTAATAGAAATTGGTCATGTTTACTGTCAATATTGTATCGCAAACTGCATTATGTTAGAAGTTTAATTTATGTAACTTTTCTGGGATTTGATTTTATCCATCCAGCTTTGAACTGAACTAGGTAGCTAGCACAGGTGTTACATAGCCATGAAGCGACACGGACTAAAACAGACCTGATGCTTAAATTGATATAAATTTCAACTATTGTAGTAGATAGTTTCCAGTGTGTCGGTATTGAGTTAAAACCTTGTATACAAATCCAACCGATGGCTATGAATGTTGTTTTATCGAATGTGCAGTAGTAACAAGTGTTTCTGATGGGTCTGAACAGTTTTGAATACCAGCTGCCGGCGTGGCAGGTAAAGCACGTCACGCTGAATTCAGCCTTGCTGCTGTTTACTTTACCTCCCCTGTCAGGAATTATCTCCATTTCATCAGACTTTGGGGTTTTATTAAAGCACTTCAGAATAAATTGCCTTTTGTTTATGTACTATTACGAAGTACACAGCTTGATCGTTGGACTATTAATTAACACATTAAAACAATCAAAATATATCAGAGAAAAATATATTTAGTATTTAATTTGTTTGGATATGAATAGTTATTAATTCATTAAAATGCAAAGGAAACCCATAGGGTAAATTTTTTTTTAAAATCAATTTTTTAAATTTAAATTTTATTTGATAGCTGGATTCTTTCTGAACATTTTGATATATGATACCTTATATTTTGAGACGGTAAAAGTGGAAAAATAAATTATTTCTTAAATTAATGCACTGAGAAACATTTTTATAAATGGAATGTGTTGGCCTGCTGACTTGTTATAGTATACATTGTAGTTTTTCAATGGACTTTTATTCTATGTGATTGGCAGCACTGTAAGGTTCATTGCCTAATCACGTTGTCTTAAATTATTTAACATTGTATGTTGGTGTCATTAAACCTCACAATCAACCTTTCTGCAGACACAAAAAAACTGAACACAAAAAATTATTAGACAGAGAAAAATATGTTAGACTAATTACGTCAAAATAATCATTTGTGATTTGTGATATGACCAAATGGTGTAAAAAAAAAAAACTGTGCCTTCACATAAGGACTCAAATAATCCGTTGTCTGGGTACCTGTGTGGCTATATTGCTAGCAATAAGCAATCATATCTAAAGTATGAATAATAAAACCCCTGCCGCAGTAAACCTGCTGACAGAGAAAATTTAAATTTGCCTGATTCCATTTTTATTTTAATATTTCCTTAAACTATTTAAATTCATTCGCTTTAAAATAACATTAGGTTTAACGAGTACTTAGGTTTACTGCAACGGCGAACCTAAAATCATTATTTTTAGTGAAGTGTGAATAACTAGGTGTGCAATGAATAAATTAGAAAATTTGATTGATCAAGAATAAAATATATATTGTTTAGGGGGGGGATAAACAAGTAAACTTAGGTACACAATTTACTAATTCCAATAGGAATTTCATAAGAAATTTCAAATTTCAATAAAATATCCCATAACCATCAAGCGTACAGCAACGCCTTTAAAATGGCACACAGCTGGGCACAATAGAGCTTAGGCGTCAGAGTAAATGTACGATAAAATACACTTGAGTATTGTGAGCGTTGTAAATGTCGACGTACTGGACAACATTAGCTACAGTGGCACACAGATGAGCACAATAGAGCTTAGGCGTCAGAGTAAATGTACGACAAAATACACTTGAGTATTGTGAGCGTTGTAAATGTCGACGTACTGGACAACATTAGCTACAGTGGCACACAGATGAGCACAATAGAGCTTAGGCGTCAGAGTAAATGTACGACAAAATACACTTGAGTATTGTGAGCGTTGTAAATGTCGACGTATTGGACAATATTAGCTACAGCGGCACACAGCTGAGCACAATAGAGCTTAGGCGTCAGAGGAAATGTACGACAAAATACACTTGAGTATTGTGAGCGTTGTAAATGTCGACGTATTGGACAACATTAGCTACAGTGGCACACAGCTGAGCACAATAGAGCTTAGGCGTCAGAGGAAATGTACGACAAAATACACTTGAGTATTGTGAGCGTTGTAAATGTCGACGTATTGGACAATATTAGCTACAGTGGCACACAGCTGAGCACAATAGAGCTTAGGCGTCAGAGTAAATGTACGACAAAATACACTTGAGTATTGTGAGCGTTGTAAATGTCGACGTATTGGACAATATTAGCTACAGTGGCACACAGATGAGCACAATAGAGCTTAGGCGTCAGAGTAAATGTACGACAAAATACACTTGAGTATTGTGAGCGTTGTAAATGTCGACGTATTGGACAATATTAGCTACAGTGGCACACAGATGAGCACAATAGAGCTTAGGCGTCAGAGTAAATGTACGACAAAATACACTTGAGTATTGTGAGCGTTGTAAATGTCGACGTACTGGACAACATTAGCTACAGTGGCACACAGATGAGCACAATAGAGCTTAGGCGTCAGAGTAAATGTACGACAAAATACACTTGAGTATTGTGAGCGTTGTAAATGTCGACGTACTGGACAACATTAGCTACAGTGGCACACAGATGAGCACAATAGAGCTTAGGCGTCAGAGTAAATGTACGACAAAATACACTTGAGTATTGTGAGCGTTGTAAATGTCGACGTATTGGACAACATTAGCTACAGTGGCACACAGCTGAGCACAATAGAGCTTAGGCGTCAGAGGAAATGTACGACAAAATACACTTGAGTATTGTGAGCGTTGTAAATGTCGACGTATTGGACAATATTAGCTACAGTGGCACACAGCTGAGCACAATAGAGCTTAGGCGTCAGAGTAAATGTACGACAAAATACACTTGAGTATTGTGAGCGTTGTAAATGTCGACGTATTGGACAATATTAGCTACAGTGGCACACAGATGAGCACAATAGAGCTTAGGCGTCAGAGTAAATGTACGACAAAACACACCCGAGTAAAGTCTTAGTTTATCACAAAAATATAGGAGTATGTTAGTTTCACTACAATGTTGAATGTGATTTTACTAACGTAGGAATATAATACTGGTATATCATTATAGATGTGTACATCCTAGACATAACTATTTAACTAATGACACTGAAAATTAATTTGTGGAAAGCATTATAGTAGTAGAGTATTTAACAGAAACAATAATTCGAGCCACAAAACATAAAGTTTACAACAATATTATGTTTATTAATTGAATCATTATGACTTTCTGTCACAGAACAATAAATTTAAAATATTTACTCAATAGATGTATAACACACATTGTGTTTTAAAAATTTATATTTACATTGACAATAGTTGGAATATAAACTAAAGCAATCTCACATCTTAAAAAACAAGGTGGATAAAATCACATTTATTCAATTTGTAAGAGATGTTCAACATATATCTTAAAGCATTGTTGAAATACTTATCTGGCTCCGCTGTACTTCAGTTGCTTTGTCAAAATGCAAAGTTTGACAGATATTTCGTATTAGAAGGTTAAATTCTTACTTAAATATAAGTTAAGG